GTTGGATGGAGTGTTCTGTGTATGTCTATGAGGTCAAGTTGGCTGATTGTGCCCTTTAGATCTTCTGTATCTTTGTTGAGTTTCTTTATAGATGTTCTGTCCTTTACTGAGAGTGGTGTGTTGAAGTCTCCTTCTTTTATTGTGGAACTGTCAGTTTCTCTTTTCAGTGCTGTTAGAGTTTGTTTTCTGTATTTTGGAGCCCTGTCTTTGGGTGCGTAGGTGTTTACTGTGGTTATGGCTTCATGATGGATCGTCCCTTTAATTGTTATATATTGCCCTTGTTTGTCTTTTATGGTGGACTTTGTTTTAAAGTCTATTTTACCTGAGATTAGTATTGCCACTCTTGGTCTTTTTTGGTAACTGTTTGCTTGGTATATTTTTTCCACCCTTTGATTTTTAATAAATTCATGTCTTTGTTTCTAGGATGTGTCTCTTCTAGATAGCATAGTGATGGATCTTGATGGATCCTGTTTTTTGTATCCATTCTGTCACTCTCTGTCTCTTCATGGGTGCATTTAGGCCATTTACATTCAGTGTGATTATTGATAGGTGTGAGTTTATTGCTGTCATTTTGTAGTGTTTTTTTTTTGTATTGCTGACATTTTCTTTGTTCCTCTTACTCTCCTGTGCTGAATTCCTTTTGTTTCTGGATCTTTTTCATTACTTTTGTTTTTGGAGATTTTGTTTTTACTGCGACTTTGTTTTTCTTGTTTATTTTGATGAATAGGTTTGTTAACATTCTTTGTGGTTACCTTGACATTTACCATTATCTTCCTTGTCTATTATTACTTGGTATAATAGAGTTGCCTTCCTCTCCATTGGAAGGTTCTATACCTACACTGTTTATTCCCTCTTTTATTATTCTGATGTTGTTGTCATTTAGAGATTAACCTCTCTGGTTCTCTGTTGTAATTGTTTTGGTCTTGGATAGTCCTTTATATCGTTTGGTATCTGGCTGGTATAATCTTGCGTCCTAGATTCATGCTGTTGTCTGATGTTGTTTGTTCTCAGACCAAAGGACTCTCTTTAATAATTCTTGTAAATTTGGTTTGGTTTTTACATAGTCCCTTAATTTCTGTTTATCTGGAAATGCACTAATTTCACCATCATATTTGAATGAGAGTTTTGCAGGATATTTTATTCTTGGCTGGCAGTTTTTTTTCTTTCAAGGTTTTCTATATGTCATCCCATTGCCTTTTTGCCCGCATGGTTTCTACCAAATAATCAGAGCTTAGTCTTATTGTTTCTCCTCTGTATGTGACTTTTCATTTTTCTCGAGCTGCTCTTAGGATTATTGTCTTTGGTTTTAGTGAGTGTGGTTAGGATATGCCTTGGTGATTTTCTTTTGGGGTCTATCCTATATGGGAGTCGTCTAGCTTCTTGTATGGTCAGCTTTTCATCTTTCATATATTGGGGAAGTTTTCTGTCAGCAGTTGTTCAGTGATTCTCTCTGTGTTTTCTGTTTTCTCCACCTGTTCTGAAACTGTTATCACTTTCAGATTTTTGCTTTTGATTGTATCCCCCATAATTCTCAGTATCTCTTCATTTTTATTTGTTCTTTTTTCTGATTTTTCTTCAAATAGAGTTGTATCCAAATGTTTGTCTTCAATTTCACCGATCTAGTCTTCCATCATTTCAAACCTTCTCCTCAGCCCTTTTAGGACATTGTCCATTTCTGAAATCCTGTTTTTTATCTTTTGGATTTCTGATTGTTGTTTTTGTATGATTTCTAGTTGTGCATTTATTTTGGCATTTTTTCCTGTATTCTTCCATTTTTTGTCTGTATTTTCCATCAATTGTCTTTTCTGTGAATTTGTACATTTTTTCTTCATTTTTGTCTACTTTTTGCTTCAACTCTTAGATAACTCTGAATATTAGAGATTTGAATTCCCTATCAGGTAGTTCTAGTGCCTTTTCTTCTACTGGAAAGTCATCTAGTGTTTTATTTTGGATGCCTACTGGAACCATCCTGTCCTCTTTTTTTATATGTTTTGGTATTGTCTGCTGTCTTTGGGACATTCAGTAGTTATTTTCTTTGTTTATTGATTGTAGATTCGTTTGTTTCGTTCTGCTTTTTTGTTTTATTTGGTTACATCTGAGCAGATGTACTGTGTGTTCTTTGTTGTTTGCTCATCTGTGGACACAATATTTTTCACCTCCTTGTCCAATGGGCAAGGCCAGTTGCTCAGCTATGGTGCGGCAGGGCAGGTCCAGCTGAAGGGGAGTTGCTGGGATGGGTTGTTTGTGGCACGTAGTAGGGCCAGGTAGGTGGGCCGGGAATCAGTGTGGGGCAGGTTCTGGTTGGCCGTCCCAGTGCTGCTCGAGGGTGTGATGTTCAGCGCATGGTGCAGGGAGGCAGGAAGGAGGAGGGAGATTGTGATGTGTGGAGCTAAGATGGGTGTGGCAAAGAGGAGAGAGAGGAGAGAGTAACTGGAACTAAAAACAAACAAGCAAAAAAATAGTGCTAAGGGAGCTTGCTGTTGAAGTGGAGAGATGAGAAACCGAGAAATGCAGAAGAACAAAAAGGAAAAAAAATGAAAAGGGAAAAAGAAAAAAATAAACAAACATAAGGGGAAAAAAAACAAAAGCAAAGCCTCCAGGGATCTCACTGGTGCAGCTGCAAAGACTAGGGAAGTGCCTCCCAGGCTGTGAAGTATAGCCTGGTTAGAAGGGGTAGACATGTCACACAGTGCCAGGTATTCAGGAGAGAGGGAGAGAAGATAAGTATAGAGAGATGAGGAACTGAGAAACGAAGAAAGACAAAAAGAGAAAAGAAAAAAAAAAAAAAAGAAACGCTCCCAGGGATCCCAGTCTGCGGCTGCACAGAATGAAGGAGTATCTCCCAAGCCACGCAGTACAGCTTGGCTAGAAGGGGCTCCCAAGCCAAGAAGAGAAATAGAAAACAAACAAACAAAAGAAAACAAAACAAAAAAAGCCCTGGGGATCCCACCAGCTTGGCAGCACGGGCTGGGAAGCAGTTCCACAGTTGAGCGGCACTTCAAGGCCTTTCAGGAAGAACCACAGCTGGCACAGAGAGCCAGGTGTTTGAGAGAAAGGAGGGTGAGGTGGTGATAGGTATGGAAGAAACCAGAAGAAGCATGAAAAAGCAACACCAGCAACAAACAAATGGCACTCAGGAAGCCAACCAGTGTGGACAGGTCGAATCCAAGTGGTACAGGGCTGAAGCCGGTGCCTCTTGGCCAAGAGACTGTGGCCGCAGGATGCAGAAGCGGACAAGCAGAGGTGAAGAAGGGTAGGGGGTGGGAAAGCAAATATCACTGGTTACTGGTTGTTCTGTCTCCTGTTGGGAGCTGTGTGAAGCTGCTTTCCCATACTCCCTGTACACTGATCTCTGACAGGTGTCCAAGATGGCAAATCCGTGCTGTGTTAGCTGATAGGGGACCTCCGCACGTATCTCTCCTCACTCTGTTCTCTGTCAGTTTTTTATTCCATTAGGTGCTTGGCTGAGTTCTTCATCTCTTGATCTGATGCTCAGGGTTCCAGGATTGATGTTTGTCTCTGTTTGACTTAGTTTTTCAGGTCTTTGCTGTGGAGGGATGGGGTGATGCTTCTGTCTATAGCACCAAGTTGGCTCTGCCTTCATTTTTCATTCTTGTAAAGGGAATTTTTCTACCACATGACTGAAGTTTTTATTTGAAACTTTAGTGAATGTTGTATTGTCATAAAACAGAGGTAAATCTTTGATAATGATCTTAATTAAATAGAAGGGTCCAGTGATGTTCTAGGATGTTATGTTTGAAATTAAAGTAAACATTAAAATAGTTGCTGTTAAGGTGATTCCAAGTCATGGTGACCCCATGTGTTTCAGAGTAGAACTGCACTCTATAGTGTTTTCAATGGCTGTTACTTTTTGGAAGTAGATTGGCAGGGCTTTCTTCTGAAAATAAATACAGGAAGTATGATAATTTTTATGCCCTACACAATGGAAATAGGTGTAGACTTGGAAAGCAGTGCAGTGACACATGGTATTCAGTATGATTTCTGGTGAATCTGGATATCAGATATGGATTATAGAGCTCTTTGTCATTACTAAATTCAGCTATGCCTATCCTATTTGCCTTATAATACAGCAATGGACTTTTCTTCCTAGCTTTAAAATAATTATAAGGAGAGTAGTTTCAGTATCATAGTTATGGTTAAGAAGGCATATCAAACCAATGGTTTATCAGTAGGTCATGTGTATATGTATGAAATTCCTATGTGGCTCTCCTTCAGACTTTTTGCATTTTTGTTGGCTTTGATCTAAAAATGTTAAATGTTTTTTCAGGGCATAAATAAATTGTGATTTTTTTTTTTAAATGATTTCCACCCATTGGAAGTATTATTATAACAATCACCTTCATTTCCCACTCTCCACACCCCCATGTCCATCTGAGAAAGTCATTTTGTGTGAATTGAAATGTTCTTGGTGAGAGCACATGGAATTTGTGTTGCCTTGTGAAAGTCTAGAAATATTATAGCCATCAAAATTATTGGCATTGTCATTTAAGAAAGATAAAAAGTCCCAGCCTATACTGAATCTGTATCCTTAAGATGAAAGATGCTAATGGTTCTGGACTTATATATGTCAGAAAGTGGCAGAGTAGCCTGATTTCTGATGAATTTCAATTGCACTGTACTAATAAGCTACTAGCCTTAGATGTCAAATTAGCAATTCTGCTGAACATGTTCTTTTACTGATTGGGAACTTTAAGGGCAAGTTCCTTCTTTCTAGTTGTTTGGAGATTTAACCTCGCTGCTATGTTTGACTGCTAAAGAATTAAAAAATATTTCTTAATTCAAAAGAAGAAATCCTTTAATCGGTGACATTTAAGTTATTGGCTATACTTCCTTTTCAAGATTATGCCAATCATTGAAATATGTTGTCCAGTAAAACAAACCAAAACTAAAATATTAAATTGTTTTATAATTGTTTTTGTAATTGTGCCATTTCTACTTGTTCATGTTATAATTTGTCATTAACTTATTTTTAATGATAGACGAATCCTTAGTACTGTGGAAAAGAGCAGACAGAAATATAAACCAGCTTCTCTCACGGTGGAGTTCATCCCTTTCTTTTATCGTAAGTAACAGTTTTAGTTTCTCCTAGTTTGATTTTGATCTTACTCTCTTATTCTTACTCTATTCTGACCTTGATTTAGCTTTCTGAATTAATAAAGATTGCAAGAACTTGTCACTATAGTGCTTGATTCCTTTTTGGCTGTGAATATTGTTCTTGGTTATATTTAATTTATTGTTCTCAGAGTGTTTTTCTTTTGAGAAGAGTTGATTATTTTAATGACCATAGTATATTTTAGAACTTCAGAATTTTTACTGAAAATGAAAAACTTAGAGTCTGTCATTATATACATGACCTACATGGACTCTAGTTTTCAATTAAAAAAAGATTATGCTGTGTTTTAAGAATACAGAAAAATTGTACAGAATGTAAAAGTGATACCATGTATTTCCCACTCGAATTTGCCAGATGCTAACGTTTTGCCATATATGCTTCAGTTCTTTTTTATTTTGTTTCCTAAGAAATGAAACAAGACAGAAACAGATCTTTGATTGCTTGGTGGAGAGTGGCTGCAGTGTCCACTCTGCTTGACCACCAGTAGTGGTGCTGGCTTCCGCTAGACAGTCAAGCTCACATGTTCACAGTAGGCCATGCTTGGCACTGACTTCACTTAGAGGACACAGGAGAAGAACCCCAAAATGCCAGTAGACAGTGTAAGGTGTTTCCATTCAGCGGGACTCCTCACAGCAGTCCAGGGCTATTCTTCGGTCCTTTGAGTGAGAGTCTGAGACCAGTTTGGTGGGTGTGTGAGCCTCTCTGGCTTAGAACTTTTGTACCCCATAGAAGCCATTATATCCTGTAATAGGCCATGGACATAGCTTCCAAACCCTGGGAGAGGAAATGCCTGAATTACAAGTTACACCGCAATCAGGGAAGCCCAAAGTTATGAGTTCCCACCAGGTATTTATTGTTCATTCATGTCCTCCCAGTCCAGGTCAAGGACCATTTTTTCCATAAGCACTGTTGTCTGTGACAGTACGGGTTGCCCACACTCGTCAGATTTCTAGTGAAATAATTCTAGGTTTATTTTCCCATGTTGTTGTTGTTGTGTACAGTCGAGTCAATTCTGACTCATAGTGCCCCATAGGGTTTCCTAGGCTGTAATCCTTAAGAAAGGAACCCTGTCGCGCAGTTGTTAATCACTCATCTGCAGACCAAAAAGTGGGTGACTTGAACCCACCAGCCGCTCCATAGGAGAAAGATGTGAGAGTCTGTTTCCCTAAAGATTACAGCCTTGGGAACCCTCTGGGACAGTTTTGCTCTGTCCTATAGGGTCTCTATGAGTGGGAATTGACGGCAGTGGGTTTCAGTGGGAATCCTTACGGGAAGCAGAATGCCAGGTTTTTTTCTCCCGTGGAGCCTTTGGTGGATTCCAACCACCAGCCTTTTGGTTAGCAGCCAAATGCTTAACCATTGCACTTCTAGGGCTCCTTCCATTTTCCCATAGAGAAGGAGAAAGGGTTTTGTTAGCCAGTTACTTACAGTGGTGAGAGTAAAATTTCTCCATTGTAAAGATATATTTTATTTTTGCAGTTTAGCAAGTTATCCTTGGGATGATACTTCGGCACAGTATGAATATCTTGTTTTCCAACATATCATCTAATGTTTTAGCATCCATTGATGATGATTGCCTGAATCAATTTTTCATTGAGGGTTGCAAAATGGTGATTTTCTAATTCTATCATTCCTTAGACATTTATTAGCTATTACATTCTTCTGCGCAAAAAGAATTTTCTCTCATCAACTGGGGATGAACTCTAGTTTGTTTCTAAAAAGGCAGGATAAAATGCGTAAACCTTTCTCTTTTACTATTTTCAAGATTAGTTCACATAGTAGTCACTTCTGGTGGGACAAATTGGTTTTCTTTTCGAGTATCACTATGGACTCATTGACTTTTATTTATTGAATGTTTCACAATCAGTTATGGTCACTACCGTTTTTGATGCTAAATCGTCCCAAATTTGATCATTGGGAGTATTTTATCCTATTCAGTTATCTTTTCATTTACTTAATGAAGTCTTTTTTAATGCAGAAATTTTAAATTTTGATGAAACCCAATTTATAAATTTTTTCTATTATGATCCATGCTTTTTGTGTCTTATCAAAGAAATCTTGCCTACCTCAATGTCATAAAGATTTTTTCCTACATTTTCTTCTAGTTTTCTGGTTTTAGCTTTCACATTTAGGTCAGTGATCTGTTTAGAGTTATTGTCTTCCATATGGATATTCAGTTGTTCTAGCACCATTTGTTGCAAAGGCTATCCTTTTCCCATGGAATTACATTGGCACCTTTGTTGAAAATCAGTTGACCATATAGTATGGATCAGCTCTTTTATACTGTTTTAATTTTTCTTTGTCATGTGCATGAGTAACTTATTAAAAACAAAACAAAAATTTATAATGCTAGAAGAAAGGTTGGCATTAGAATTTTAGAATTTTGACAGTGGAGAAGACCCAGGAAGTCTGTTTCTCTAACTCTTCAATTTTATAATTGACTGAACGAGGCTTGTAGCAGTAGTAGTAGTAAAAAGACATCCGGTTTTATGTCAGGTTTAGGTTACTTCCTAGCTTTATCAGTTACTAACCATGGGACCTCAGGCAACACATTAACTTCTGACGTTCTGATCACTCATTTATAAATGGGGTAAAATATCATCCTCATGTGGAATATTATGAGAACATGATAACCTAAAGTACTATCTGATAGATGATTTCACTTTCCCCTGCCTATGAAAAAATGCATATCAACCTAGTCTTTTAACAAATTTTATCCTTTTCACAAGTAGATCTTCATGTTTCAGTATCAGACATTTCTTAGAGATAAATCATAAAAGAGAAATACTAATTTGTTTGTTTATTATATTCACAGAATGTTTTCAGGAAAGTGAACATCTTAAGGAAAGTCTTAAGTGTTGTTTGTTGCATCTTTTTGGAGCCATTGTAGCCGGTGGACAGGTGAGCAAAGTGTTGGAAGAGAAGATACAAAATAGTAGTTAACAGTGAGAGGAGCTTATTTAATTTAGCTCTTCTATGGATTATATAATTTACTTTGTCTTTTTATAATTTTATGAACCATACAGATATTTCTCTGATTTTATGTCTTGTTTAAAACTAATCTACTTACATCTTTCTTTTATTTATTAACTTTCAAAAAAAATTATAGTTAATAATATTAGCGTTAACAATAAAATTACTGGATAAGTAACCAGATTTAACATTCTTTGTTGCTTTTTGTGAGCATCCGATGTTGATTTTTCAAGTAATGGTGTGTAGTCATTTTATTTTTTTAAGAGTAATATTGTAAATTCTTCATTATGTTGGCTTTCAGCTACAAGTTCTTACTTAAGAGTTTAGAGGAAGTCAGCACTATTAGTCCACTTGATGGAATCAAACTCTAGCAGTTTGATTTCCAAAGACATAAGAATTTAGTCATTCTGCTGTCTAGTTAAAATTACTAAATTATATGTATTTTTCAACAAACCCAGCTAGTGTTTTATTTACAAGAAATTCCAGTAATGTTTGTGATTTTTTTTTTTTTAAGTTGAGCAACTTAAAAGCTGTCTGTGGTAAACTTTGAGTATAACTACTCATAGACAACAGGATTATAGTTCAAAGAGAATATTCTACATGTATTCTTAAACCACGCAGTTTAGACTAGAGGTTCTTAACACTTTGTGCCACAAATTCCCTTGACAGTCCCCTAAAGCCCTTCTCAGAATGTTTTTAAAAGCATAAAGTGAAATACATAAAATCACAAAAGAAACCAATTATACTGAAATGCAGTTATCAAAATATTAATAAAACAAATTTGTGACATAGTAATATGTATTTCTTTATAACATTAAATAAAAAGTTTTAGCAGCAAGTCTAGTAACTAATGTAAATTCAAAGAAGAGATGAGCATAAATGGTATTTTAAGATCCTGCAACAACTGTAACAGGTACTGCTAATACATTGTGGTTTGTTGCTTACATTTAAAATTGAAGAAAATATTAATTTTCAGTTAGAGGTTAGGGAAAATAAAGATATAATTCTTTTTCATCGTCTTTCACGAATTTCTCGAATTCTGTAGACCTGAGATTAAGAACCCTCGATTTATGTGATTTCATTTTAACTCTAAATTTACTGATCTGTCTTTCTTTCCTCTCAGAGAATGAAAGTTATCTTCCCTTTTTTGCTGTATTAGCTTCTGTTATTTTAAAATTCCATGTTCTTTATATTGTTATACCAAATTACATGTTTAAATTGCAATTTTATTTAAAGCCTTAGAAACTTATTTTAAAACTGTATTTAAACACATAAAAGTATACCAATAATAACTAGGTATAGTACCTTTTCATTGTGGGCACTAGTAAGAAATCCTTGTCTACCTTCAGGAAGACATCAGGAAGGTTAATACTTAGACCTTTATTTGAGTTCAGAAGCCTCTCATGAGGTTCTTTTTATCTTATAGCAGTAGAGAATTGCTAATTATTTTATATTTTTTATCTACCATTTCTCATTTAGTTTGGAGATTTGAGGAAGTGTAACCTTTATTTTTCAAGTGAACTTCATAAACAGATGGCTTTATATATGTAGTCAATCTCTTTTTTATTGGTTTTATTGGTTTATTTTTTATGGATGTATTTTCTTGAGCATTTATCTTGTGAATACCATTCTGAGGTTGAGTTTCCTGCCAGCTGGTACTGCTGGACCTTCGCTCTCCTCCCTGTCTTGGCTCTGTTTTGCTTTTTTTTCTCATTATCTTTTTTTTTCAGGGAATAGTCCTTGTGCTCAGTGGGCATTTTTTTTCTGTATTATTATTATTCCCTCTTACACAAGCATCCTGTTATCTTGCAGAGCCCTGCTGACATTCCCTTCTCTTGTTTTTTCACCCTACCCCTTTTTCAGTACTTAGCCAGATTTCCTATTTAGGTTTCTGGTGGGTACCTTGCCTTCTTCTCTTCACCCTGGTGGAAGATAAGACTCTTCTTAAAGTTAGAGAGATGTTAAACAGAATCTTATTTTTCAGCTTTTAGTTTGCTTAGTCACCTTTGGTGGCTGTGACCCTTCTTTTGGGTCAGAATCTCCCCATTTCTACCATTTCTCCACTACTGAGAATAACTATACATGAATGAAATTGTAAGTGGCATTGTTATTGACTTATGAGGAAGCCAGACAGATCCCATTCTCTTTGTGAACACACAGAGATTCATTCTTATTAGTACCTAGGGACAGTGATGCCCTGAGAGACCTCTACTAATTAAAACTCAAGCAAAATCAAGTAGATATTGGAAGGCCAATTTATCATTTTATGTACTGAAAGTGCTCAAAACCTTTGTGATCAGGGCACATCTGTAGTTAGATCTATATAGAAGTCCGAAGGTTGCTTGTTGAATGTGGCATCAGCACAAGGGTATTTCGATAATTTGAATATCTAAAGGAAGGAATGTTCTGTCAGAAAGAATGGAGATATTGAAGTCTCATTCCAAAGCATTATGCCTGGGCTTCCAATTGACATAGTTATTCTTTAGATCTGTTACTACAGTCAAACCAGTTCAGTTTATGTTAGGAGCAAGAGCTTTGGAGTCAAGATAGACCTAGGTTTGAATCCCATGTCCATCTCTAGTGTAACCTTGGAAAAACTATTTACATGTGTCTTAGTTTCCTTTCTTGTAATATGGAAGTATAACACTTAACTTACAGGGTCATCTTGAGAACTAAATAACACATAATATATGTAAAGCACTTAATGAAGTGCATAGAACTAATGAAATCACAGTTGTATCAGTTACATTTAGGATCTGCTGCAGGTGGTAGTTAATACTAAAATTGTAACAGCTTAAGTTAATTTCTCTCTCATTTAAAAAAAAAAAAGAATAACAGTAAGCAGTCCAGAGTTAATATGCCAACTATCTTTTAAGGAGGTACCAAAAAGCTGACACACACTGTCTGTTTGGCTTCATTTGCCAACTCAGTCATGAGGCTGCAAAAAAGACAAGTATTTCCAGTTAAAAAACTTGGTAAAACTTGCTTCCTCGGCCCTTCTTACCAGCAGGGGAGGCTAGGAAATTTAATCTTTATTCCAAGTCGCCATGTGCCCATCAAAACATCAGGGGTTCTATTAATAAAGAATCAGGGAAGAATGAATGTTGGGTGGGCCGTTAGCAGTTTCTTCCATCGTAGTGCTTGCTATTATTGATATTATATTAATAATAACAAATCCTGATGGCCTAAGTGCTGCTGCTTTCAGATGATTTTGCATAGCTATGTTCTGAATCATTATGTGTCAATTTAACAATTTCAGGCAATATATATTTTTTATTTCCAACTTTTATGGGTCACCTTGATGTAGCTACCAATTTCTTAGTGTACAGAGTTATGAAATATGTTTCATAACTGATAGCCAAGCAATATCTGTATCAGTTGGAATGCATTTCCATAATCACCAGAACACCTGACAAACAGAGGCTTGACAAAGTTGAGATTTTTTTATTCCTGCATAAGAAATCCAGATGTAGGCATTTCTGGAATTGTACTACAGCTCAATGATATCATCAGGGATCTTCGGTGCTTAAAATATTCCTGCTCTGTTTGCTCTAGACTGTAACTTTAATTCTGTGCTTGTCTCCTCATGGTGTAGTGGTGGCTCCAAGTAGTATTTCTGCATTCCGTGCAGGAAGAAGGTGAAAGGGCCAAGGACACAAAGTCCTTCTCTTTTTATTTGTAAAGTGATGCCTTCTCCATAGTCTATTGTCAGATATCCTTGACCAGAACCATGTCACATAGTCAGCCCTAGCTGCAAGGCTAGAAGATGAGTTTTCTAGGTGAGCAGATTGCTATCCTGAACAAAATCAGAGTTCTGTTAGTGAGGAAGCGGAGATATAATGTATAAAACACTAGCACTGTCTGCTGAAATACTTGTTTAAAATGTATTTTGATTTTTTTTAAAGAAAAAGTTGCCTGCAGATTTATTAAATTCTTTTTGTAGTTGCAAACATTACAAAACTTCAGTTAGGATTGAGTTTCATTTTTATTGTATCTAATGTTTTAGAGGAATGCTTTGCAAGCGATTTCTCCAGCTACCATGGAAGTTCTTATGCGAGTTTTGGCAGATTGTGATTCCTGGGAGGATGGAGATCCTGAAGAAGTGGGTAGGAAGGTAGAACTAACTCTGAAGTGCCTTACGGAAGTGGTGCATATCCTTCTGACTAGCAGCTCTGACCAGCGTCAAGTGGAAACTAGCACTATTCTGGAGAATTACTTTAAATTGCTAAATTCAGATCATTCAGCTTTACCTAATCAGAGGAGATCCAGGCAGTGGGAAAGCCGGTTCATAGCTCTACAGATCAAGATGCTGAGTGAGTATTACATAATGACAATTTTCTGAGTTTATTTTTTTTACTTTCGTATTCCCCACTTCCTTTTGAAATATAAGGCAGTTGTATAGAAAGAGTATTGATTGTTTGATTCAGATACCATGTGACTTTTAGATTTTGACTTCAAAATAATATAGATTTGATTTGTTCATCTTTGCTTCAATAATGAGAAAGTTGAGCCTTTATAGTCTTCTTATTTTTTATTGTGTTAAAAAATACATATAACAAAACATTGGCCTATTCTGTATTCGTTTTGTAAAGTGTAAACCACTAAAAGCATCATTGTTTAAAACAAAGTCAACTGTGATTTCAGAACTCTAGGAAAAGTAAATTTTCAGAAAGTGCCATTTGTAGTTTTTAGCTTATGACAAAGAGGCATATACATACGAATTTTGTATGTGCCTGTGTAACTTCTCTGTAGGGGTTATGCCAACATTACTCTCTCTTCTGGAGAGCCTCTTTTTTTTTTTTTTTTTTAAGTCAGAGCCTCTCTGCATGTATTTTCCTCTTAACCTCTCTTTGTAATGGTTGTTTTCTGTAACTCTGTGCTTATATGTCTCTGTCTTTTCTTTGTAAAACTCTTCTCTCCAATGTATGTAATTTCTTATTGTATTCCTGTTAGATTGATAGATACAGATATTAGTAACTGATAGTTCCTTCTTATTACAAATTAAATATTCATTATTAAATTAGTAAATTCAGATAAGTAAAAAGAAAATAAATGTTATTTATATCCTACCATCCGGACATAACCTATTTTAATATCTTGGTGCATCGTTTCTAGAGACTTAAAAAAAATGTTTTTGTATGTTTGTGTGTGTGTGTGTGCATGGTGTCTAATTTAAAAATATTGGACATCTAAATCTTGGTCAGAAACTTAATGATCCATTATAACATTGTTTGTATAGGGAAATAAGATTATATAGTTTTTATTTTATATCTTCTAACATGTTATATAAGTTTCTTATTATAGATTATAAGCGTGTAAGTAAGTTTGAATCTATACTGAATAGACTTCTTTTTTGTTAGCAACTGTGGAATTACCCATTCTAGATATCCCTTGATTTCTGGATGGGTATGTCCCTTCAGTTCGAAAAAAGAGAGCAAAACATTATTACACATGGATTAATTACCTAAGCACCATTTTCATAATGGCCATATGTTAATTTTATAATACATAAATGAGACTGTGTTGCCAAATGTATTCAGATACTGCTTATCAATAGCAAGTTGGGGACCACAGTTGGTTTAAACTTGAGCCTTATAATGGAAGAACAACTAAAACTCTAGGAAATATATACCATTCTTATATCTAAAAACTTAAATGTAATAAATAATAAGTATAAAAATGTTCACCTTTTTCATCAAGTAAAAGTACAGATTGTTTTCTACTTTTCACCCTGTTATTCTCAATTAACTTACATCTGTTTTGTCAACTGAAAAGCCTAAATTAAAAATATGATTAAATGTTTGTATGATCCCAAATCTTCTACTTTGTACATGGATGATTTTGTTTTTATTTTCCTAGATACCATCACAGCCATGTTAGATTGCACAGATAGGCCTGTTCTTCAGGCCATTTTTCTTAACAGCAATTGCTTTGAACATCTCATACGACTGCTACAGAACTGCAAGGTAGTTTTTCTATTATTGTTACTGTATTTGATTTTAAGAACCTAGTGTTTATGTTTTGATTCAAATTTTAACATATAATTAGTGAATTTTTAAATTAATTTGTGTTTATATTTAATTATATAACCAAGTTTTATCTTAAATTAAAGCTAGTATTATATTTATAATTGTCTGAATACTTTAGGAGTAGTCAAACTGGAAACAAATTTCTTTGTATCATGAGCATTTCCGTTCATGAAGTATTTTATTTTTTAGGTTAGTTTTATACTTGGTAGGAGCCCTTGTAGGGAGCCCTGGTGGTGCAGTGGTTAAGAGCTTGGCTGCTAACCAAAAGGTCAGCCGTTTGAATCCACCAGCTGCTTCGTGGATACCCCAGTGGTCAGTTCTTCTCTGTCCTGTAGGGTCTCTGTGAGTCAGAATCAACTTGATGGCCGTGAGTTTGGTTTTTGGGTAGGAGCCCTAGTGGCACCAGTGGTTAAGCACTCAGCTGCTAACTGAAAGGTCGGCGGTTGGAACTCACCAGCTGCTCTGCAGGAGAAAGATGTGGCAGTTTGCTTCTGTAAAGATTGACAGTCTTGAAAATCCTATGGAGCAGTTCTACTCTGTCCTGTAGGGTTGCTATAAGTCAAAATTGACTTGATGGCCATGGGTTTTTATACTTGGTCAGTAATATCCTTGAGGCCCTTGAAGTCATTAGTTACTTCTGATCTCTTGGCTAACTCTTTGTGTCAGAACATACTAAGATGATCATGATTTTGCTTCCCTCACTTTTTTTTTAATTGTGCTTTAAGTGAAAGTTTACGGTTCAAGTCAGTTTCTCATACAAAAACTTATACACCCATTGCTATGTGACCCTAGTTGCTCTCCCTATAGTGTGACACCACACTCCTCCTTTCCACCCCGGATTTCCCGTGTCCATTCAACCAGCTCCTGCCCCTTTTTGCCTTCTCATCTTGCCTCCGGACAGGAGCTGCCCATTTAGTCTGATGTATCCTTCCCTCACTCTTTATTCAGTTTTTCACCTGGCATTGGGTGAGCTGTACATGCTGTTAAAGACTGTCACTTGTTCCATCACTCTTACTGTACCTCTGGAAGAGCTTTTATGTTAGCTTCCATCAATAATTATAGACTTCTACCTTATTCTGAAAATTGTTTGTCATATGAACTTTTTTTCAAAGATAGAATTTCAACTTCACTAAAATACAAGTATCACTTATCACATACTTGCTTTACTTAAAACCAGATTGGAATGCTTTATACATGTAGCTAGTAAAGTGAGGAAAGAATTTGGTGAGAGCAGTGTTTTATTTAATTCTGCACTTAGGCTTTTTACATATTGGAATTAAAAATAATGTACAACCATGTAGAAATTGATGAAATGTTGTAAGTTTTGTTGTGTATATGTCACTATAATTTAAAAAAATAAGGTACAGCTGAAATTTTTAAATACATTCAGATTTTTGAAGTGTGTTCATTGTAAAACTTAGAAAAATTGAGATAATAATGAAAAAGAATAAATATCCCCTATAATTCTATCAACCAGAATGAAGGCTACTATTTACTAACTGCTTACTATATGCCAGACATTGTGTTAGATGTTTCACATATGAGGGCACACAACAAATTTAGTCCTCATAATGACCACTTCATAAGTTAGACAATTCAAGTGGCAGAACTAGGGTCTCAGTTTAGTTCTATCTGGCTTTAAGCCTTTTGTTCTTAACTTTAACAGTATATAATGCCCAAAACGATAATTTTGTATGTTTATTTTCACTCTTTTTTCTAAACAAGTAGTATTTTTGCATAATCGAGATCAAGATTAATATATAATGTGGTACCCTGTTAAGATCAATTAACATTTTTATCATTATTAAAATAATACATGGTCATCGTGAAATGTAAATAGCAACAGCATATTAATTCTCCAATATAATAATAAATATATTAGGTTAAAAATTTTTGCTCTTTTACCTAATGTGCTTGCTGTTAGTAATTCCCATAGTTAATTCCTAATATAAAAAGTATATCTCTTTTAATGAAAATATAAGATACAACGTCAAGCTGAATAGTATCAATGTAATAACATTAATTATACTTTAGATAGCTATAAATCATAACACTAATGAATTATAAAGTTTCTTAAGCAGACATCTACTCAGTGTCTATTCCAGTATCAATGTTACCCCTTTTGCAGTTGTTTAGAAGCTGTAGAAATTAATACAGACTTGTAATAACATCATTAATATGTTTGCAAGTAGTTTTTGCACAAGATAAGATCGAATTTTTTAGCAAAACAGTATTTTGATGAAAAATCATGAAGTATAGGAACAGAGCCTGTGGAAAACTGCATCAAATAGATGCTAAGGAACAAAAGCACAAACTTGATTTTAAGTTTTTATAAGTCGGCATGTACACACCATGTTCTGACTTTCATTTAGGAAAAAGAAAGTTAGCTCAGATAAGCAAAATTAGGCAAGGAAAGCATTTGATTAACAAAGTGTAAAGAAATAGAAAAATATAATTCAAACCCCATTTTTAAGAGGTTGGCTATTTAAAAACATAAAAAAAAAAGAGGTTGGCAATCTCTTAATATCCTAGTCTTTTTTTTTTTTTTTTCCTTATTCTTTTTGCTTAACATATAAGCGTTTTCTCTTGTTTTTTTTTTTTTAACATTTCATGAATAGCTTTATTTCCTGGACATTTTATATATAGTATTTTTGCTATTTTGAAAGAAATACTGTGTTATTTGAATTTTGCTTTAACAGTAAATATTTGATTGTAAAATGTAATTACTGCCTTACTGCCATGGGAACTATTGTCTAAAAACTTAGAACTTGTTGGAAATCTCTAGATTTAGACATGGAAGGAAAAACTAAGGCAATGAAAACTACCCAGACACTCCAGAAGCAGTCTCTGACACTGTTTGACTAACTGCCTTTAAGCCCTTTGTTCCAAAGTGTTCCGTCTCAAGATTACTTGTTTTGTTTTTCCTCTTTTCTCGTATTGGCAAAAATTCTTCCAATTAGAGATTCATTTGTGCTCTCAATAAAAGACCCTCGTAAATATAAGGGACTATCAGACAGCTAGTGTGGCCTTGCTGAGTGATTGCTTTCTTCCTAATTCTTTTTTTTTTTTTTTTAATTGTACTTTATAGGGTCACTATAAGTCAGAATCAACTCAGGGGCACTGGGTTTTTTTTTTTTTTTTTGGTTAGATGAAGGTTTACAGAACAAACTAGCTTCTCATTAAACAATTAGTACACATATTGTTTTGTGATATTCGTTGCCAACCCCACAACATGTCAACACTCTTCCCCTTCTCAACCTTGGGTTCCCTATTAGCAGCCTTCCTATCCCCTCCTGCCTTCTCGTCCTTCCCCCTGGGCTGGTGTGCCTGTTTCGTCTCATTTTGTTTTATGGGCCTCTCTAATCTTTGACTGAAGGGTGAACCTCAGGAGTGACTTCATTACCGAGCTAAAAGGGTGTCCAGGAGCCATACTTTCA